GCTATAAGGAGCAGACCAAGGAGTTTAGACTTTTTGCTGTGGGTAGGACATTTTTTTTTTTAGAGAGTTTTATTTATTTATTTATTTTTTTGCTGAAAATTATCCCCTTCCCCCAGAGGGAATGGCCATGCCTCAATCCCTTCTCCTCTATTCTCCTGTCAGGATTTTGGGCATGTACACACATGTGCCCGGCCCAAGGTTGAAGTCACCAGGTCTGGGACTTGATCCACCATTAACTATAGGAGAGTCCAGTAACGTAACCATTATACCATCTGCTGGTCCTTTCTCCTCCATTCTCCTCTCAGGATTTTGGGCACACACGCACATGTGCCCAGCATGAGACTGAAGCCACCAGGTCCGGGACTCAATCCACCGTTGACTATATGAGAGTCCAGTGACATAACTACTACACCATTTGCTGGTCCCTGGGAAATTTTTTTTTTTTTTTTTTAAAGACAGAAGCACATAAGCATGCGTGAGGGAGAAGCATCCTCACTAGGATCTTCCTATGATCCCCTTTCCCCGGCCCTCCAGACCCTCAGGTTCTTTGGTATGTATGTACAAACCCAGCATGTTCCAGGCCAGCCTGACTGGGATTTGAACCTGCGGTTGGCCCTATGGCTTCCAAACTGCAGTTTGGTTTTCTACTGACTATGCTACTAGGCTGGGAGCTTTCAGATGTGGTAGTAGTCTCATGAGTTCCCATTCTGGGGATGGCTTATAGGATGGGCTGGCGAGGGAAAAGCTAGGAGACTAGGTGGGCTGTGGGGAGAATCCTGCAGTACCTTTAATAGCGGGCACAAAGACTCTAATTAGCGGTGGGAGGTCATGGACACGGAAATGAATGGTCACGTGGGAGAGATTAGAAGAAAGCTCCAACTTCTGGAAGGGTCCTGGGGCCTTCCCACACAAAAGGATTCTTAAGTGACTAATGAAGATCACTGCCACTCCATCTCGGAGTCTGGCCTGGTTCAAGTGCATTCCAGGTGTGTCTGTAGAGACCCATTGCATTTACTCTCCTGTTAGTCCTAGAAAAATGAGATGACCAAATGCCGGTCACTTGGCCTGCAGGTCTCCCTGACTCACGGAAGAGCTATTGAAGGCCACCTGGGTCCAAGTTGACCCTGGAGCCTGGGTCAGCTGTGGAGCAGCCTGTTGGCCAGCCCCAGGGTTTGGAGCGGGGAAGGGTGGAGATGGGGTTACAAATGGAGCTGCACTGCTGCCAGGCCTCCACATCCACCGTGTGGGCCTGCTCTGGATGTGGGCAGCTATTCGTCCTTGACCTAGCCTGCCAGCTTTGGTGCTTTCTCTTTCCACAGGTCAAGTGGATGATGTACTGGATTATATTCGCACTGTTCACCACCGCTGAGACGTTCACAGACATCTTCCTTTGTTGGTAAGTTCTCTAGGCACTGGGGCATTTCCAAGGATGGTTTTGCCTAGTTTCAGGTGAAAAGTGGGGGAGGGCTGAAACCTTGAACCTTCCCTGAGGCCAGAGAGACAGGTGCAGGTATGTTAATTGGAGAATTTTTAATGATTTCATTTGTAAAAGTTGTTCTAGTAAATGTTTACTGAGAGACTTTATAAGAGTGGATGTTCTAGGCACTAGGAATGTAATAATGGACAAGACAGATACAGTTCCTCAAATAGTGCCGCTTGGTAAACAAATATTCATGTGTTAAAAAAAAAGGAATGAAAAATAGTGCACGAGCGTAATGGCTATGTCGCTGGACTCCCACGTAGTCGACCGCGGTTCACGTCCTGGATCCGGTGGCTTAAAATTCACACCGGGCGCGTGTGCGTGCGTGCCCAAGATCCTGAGAGGAGAATGGAGGAGAAGGGATTGCGGCATGACCATCCCCCCCTGGGGAGTGATTTCTCGCTTTCTATCTCTATGTCTCTCTCTGTCTGTCTGGCGAGCGCACGCGCCCTATAGCGAAAATCTCTCCCCCCCCCAAAAAAAAAGAATAGTGCACGAAAGTGTGCAGTAGAAGGCCAGCCATGGTGATTAAGGTGACTGGATCGCACATGGCCGACTGCATGGTTCGAATCCTTGACGTGGTGACTTGAAAATCATGCTTAGCACGCGTGCTGCATGCCCAAAATCCTGAGAGGAGAATGGGGAAGAAGGGACTACAGCAGGCCATCCACTTTAGAGGGTGATTTCTCACTTTCTCTCTTTCTGGCTGGTGAACACATGTACCCTATAGCAAACTAATAAATAAATAAATACTATTTTTTAAATAATTATTTTATTTAACTTTATTTATTTATTTCCTTATTTTAATTTGATCAGAGAGTGACAGAGAGGGAGAGGAAAGTGAGAAAACAAGCTGACAGTTCTGGGACTCAAACCGCAGTCAGCCATGTAGGAGTCCAGCACCCTTAACCAACATGCCACCTGCCGGCCCCAATAAATATTATTTTTTAAAAAGTACAGAAGAAATTAAGTTTCCTTCCTACATTTCTCACTTTCGCTGTAACTATTAATCACAATTTTGTATCTTCCTTTTTGTTCAGGTTTGTATCTTAAAAATGTTATATGTGTCCGTATATACAGAAACATATGCTCATACAATTTTTCTTTATTTTTTTAACAATGATGCTATAATGCACATAACAGTTCTCACTTTGCTTATTAAATTTATCTTGGAAATAGTTTTATCTGAGCATAAGTAGTATATCTACCTATTTAAAAAAAAAATCTTCTGAGCTGACCTTGTGGCTAGGGGAACCAAACCCCATATTGCTGACCACAGTTAGAATGCCAGTCCTAGCAACTTGAAAAGCACACCCATTGTGTGTGTGTGTGTGTGTGTGTGTGTGTGCATGTGCGTGCATGTGCGCACAGGTGTGTGTACACCCTGAATGCTGATGGAATGGAGAAATAGTGGAGCAGGCATTGCAGTGTGACCACACCCCACAGGAGATACTTTTCTTCTCCCTCTCTTTCTGGCAAGAGCATGTACCTTCTGGCACTTGTACTGAAAAAAAATCTTTTTTTAGTTTATGATAGACTGCATGCGCACACATGAAAGAGAGAGAGAGAAAGAAATGAACGCTTTCCAAAGAACTAGTTATGCTACAGTGTCCTTCCCCCAATCCTAAATCGCTTTGGATCTTGGGCACTTGTGCATGTGGCTGGCATGTTTCGGGCTGACCGGGATGGGGATTTGAACCAGTGGTCACATGGGGTCCAGCTTCTCTAGAGCAGCTCACTACTGCTGTGCCTTAGAGCCAGCCCCTCCACCTATTTTTCAATGGCTATGTAGCATTTTGTGGTATAGATGCAAAATAATATATTTACCATTATGTCCCTTCGGATGGACATGTTTCCTTTTTTTTTTTTTTTTTTTAATAAACAATGCCACTATTTCCAGCAATGGAGCAATTAAAAGACATAAGCTAGATCTTTTTACTGATATAGTGTATCTTCTTAGTTAAAAGAAGTTGTGACTTATATATAGTATTCTGTTTATATTTCAACCATAGGGATGATTTTCATGTGAATATGTCTTAAAAATAGGGTGGATGGGACCAGCAGTTAGCGTAATGGCTATGTCACTGGACTCCCATGTAGGCGACCGCGGTTTGAGTCCCAGACCCGGTGGCTTAAATTCACGCCAGGTGTGAGTGCGTGCGTGCCCAAGATCCCGAGAGGAGAATGGAGGAGAAGGGATTGCAGTGTGGCCATCCCCCCTGGGGGGTGATTTCTCACTTTCTGTCTCTCTGTCTCTCTCTACCTTTCTGGCGAGCACACACACCCACGCCCTATAGGAAAAACCTCTCAAAAATAATAATAATAAGGTGGAAAGTACAATTAGGCAGAGTTGTTACTAGAACTTGAGATCATTTACTGTACCGTATGACTGTCTTCTCATGACCGAGCGCCCTCAGAGAATATAATACAAACATTTCCATTTTAGAGAAAAAATTGGTATGATCTTATCCTCTAGAGTGTCCTAGTCCAAAAAACAAACCTGAATACTGCTCTGAATCCTGTTTTGTGTCAATGCCCTTAATTATCTTGTATGGTATATAGCTACCCCCTTCCCCACAGACCCTGGCTTTTCTCTCCATTGGAGAGATGGATGTCCCAACCTTCATGGTCCCACGCTACAGGGGAGGAATCTGGACCTTCTTTCTTTTTCTTTCTTCCTTTCTTCCTTCCTTCCTTTCTTTCTTCTTTCTTTTTTGGAGAGATTTTTTTTTTTTGAGAGGTTTTTGCAATGGGGCGTGTGTACTCGCCAGAAAGACAGAGACAGAGAGACAGATAGCAAGAAATCACCCCCCAGGGGGGATGGCCACACCGCGATCCCTTCTCCTCTGTCTCCTCTCGGGATCTTGGGCACGCACGCATACGTGCCCAGTGTGAATTTAAGCCACCAGGTCCAGGACTCGAACTGTGGTTGACTACATGGAAGTCCAGCTACATAGCTATTACGCCAACTGCTAGTCCCTTTGGAGAGACTTTTGCTATAGGGCGCGTGCACTTACCAGAAAGATGGAGAGAGACAGAGAGAGATAGAAAGTGAGAAATCACCCCCCTAACCCCGAGGTGATGGCCATACCGCAATCCTTTCTCCTCCATTCTCCTCTCAGGATCTTGGGCATGCACACATATGGGCCTGGCATGAGTTTAAGCCACGGGGTCCGAGACTCAAACCATGGCCAAGTACACGGTAGTCCAGCGATGTAGTCATTATACCATCTGCTGGTACTTCTTTCTTTCCTTTTTTAAGAGTTATTTCATTTAGCTTTATTTATTTATTTACTTATTTTTAATTTGACAGAAAGGGACAGAGAGAGAGAGACAGAGACAGAGACAGAGAGAGGGAAAGTGAGAAAGCAAGCTGCCAAGTCTGGGACTCGAACCATGGTCAGTCATGTGGGAGTCCAGTGCCCTTAACTACCATACCACCTGCCAGCCCCCCAGGAATCTGGATCCCCTGCTGGTAGCTAGAGTGTGCCCGTGTCTGTGGCCCTAGATTTTTAGACCTTCCCTAGGAAAAGCTCAGCAGCTACTTCTGGCATTGATTTGGGGAGGCTTATTAGTTTTCTGTTGCTGCATAACAAATGACCACAGATTTAACAGTTTAAAACAATACAAATGTGGGCATTAGGTGGTGTGGTGGTTAAGGTGCTGGATTCCCACATGGCCAACCACAGTTCAAGTCCTAGACCTGGCAGCTTAAAAATCACAACAAAGAAATGTATAAATAAATAAATAAATAAATAAATGTTTAATGGATAAATAAATAAACAAATGTTTAAATAATAATAATGATAATAAATTCTGAAATTACAAAACAAAACAAAAAAACCCCCACAAATGTATTATTTCACAGGTTTTTTTTTAGTTTTGCTATAGGGCATGTGTGCTTACCAGAGAGAGACAGAGAAAGGGACAGAGAGAGAGGTCACTCCCCACTCCCTGGCAGGATGGCCATACCATCATTCCTTCTTCTCCTCCATTCTCTTCTCAGAGTTTTGGGCATGCATGCACATGTGTCCAGTGTGGTTTTTTTTTTTTTTTTGAGAGAGAGATTTTCACTGTAGGGCGCGTGCGCTCGTCAGACAGACAGAGAGAGACAGAGAGACAGAAAGCGAGAAATCACCTCCCAGAGGGGATGGTCACGCCGCAATCCCTTCTCCTCCATTCTCTCGGGATCTTGGGCACGCACACACACGCGCCCAGCGTGAGTTTTAAGCCACCAGGTCCGGGACACGAACCACGGTCGACTACGTGGGAGTCCAGCGACATAGCCATTACGCTAACTGCTGGTTCCCCAGTGTGTTTTTCAAGCCTCTGTCTGGGACTCAGCCACACAGTCAGACATGTGGAGTCCAGCCACCCTAATCACTGCTCACCAGCTGGCCCTGATGTCCCTTTCTGTCAACATGTGCCATCTTCTTCACCTTCAAGCCCATAATGGCATGTCAAATCCTTCTTGGGCTTGGAATCTATTGGGTTGGGTCATTGGGAAAGAAAGTTCTATGGTTTTGGCATAGAAAACCATAGAAAAATACGTCATAATTTTCTCAACGACTTAGTATCTTCTGCTAAAGCTGGAAAAGCATTTCTGCTTTTCCTTAAGTGCTTGTTGATTAGATTAGGCCCAGCTCAATAATCCAGTATAAATTACATTTTTTTTTTTTTTTGAGAGAGAGGTTTTTGCCATAGGGTGCATGCACTCACCAGAAAGAGAGAGACAGAGAGACAGAAAGCAAGAAATCACTCCCAGGGGGGATGTTATGCCGCAATCCCTCCATTCTCCTCCCGGGATCTTGGGCACGCTCGCACACATGCCCGGTGTGAGTTTAAGCCACTAGATCTAGGACTTGAACCACGATCGACTACATGGGAGTCCAGCGACATAGCCATTATGCCAACTG